CAGCAAAAGCGTCGACCTCTTCTCGAATGCTGCCATGTGTCCCTAGTGCCCCAGTTCCTCAGCTACACCTCCTTCCACTCTCTCCTTCCCTCACTCTGCTTCAGCTACGCTGGCCTCAGACACCCAAACCTACCACAGGACATTTGCACTTGCTGTTCCCTAGCTGGAAAGACCTTATCTCTTTGTGTGCCTTACTCTCTTGCTTCCTTTGAGACTCTGTTCAATGTCACCTCCCCAGATGGCCTTTCGTAGCCACTATATCAAATAGGATATCTGAGAGGTGGCTGCCCCAGCCTCCATCTCATGTAACTTGGCTTCCTTTTTCCTTATTGCACTTTATTTTCTCTCCACGGGCTTCTCTGCTCTGTATTCTATCATATATTCACCTTTTAACTTTCACGGCACCCCACTACTTTCCTGAGGGCAGGAACAGGTGTCCTGGTTTTGTTGCCTGTGTCCTCACGGCCTAGAACACAGTTCAGCACGTGGTGGGAGTACAGTAGTAGTTGCACGAGTGAGTGAAACATTCAGGCAAAATGCTCCAGGAAGACAAGATCACGTTCTCTAGAACTACAGCATGACCTCTGAAGAGTCCACACTCGATGCTCACACTCAGGTTAAGAATTAAGAAAGGGGCGCCTGGGTGGCTCAGTGGGTTAGGCCTCTGCCTTTGGCTCAGGTCATGGTCTCCGGGTCCTGGGATCGAGCCCCGCATCGGGCTCTCTGCTCAGCAAGGAGCATGCCTCCTCCCCCACCCTGCTGCCGCTCTCTCTGCCTATTTGTGATCTCTCTCTGTGTCAAATAAATAAATAAAATCTTAAAAAAAAAGAATTAAGAAAAATGGGCTGGCCCATTGGTGGCATTTTGGGCATCAGCCCCAACAACAGACTCGATATCCTCATATCCCTCTTTGTACAGGTGGCTTCCGGATGGGACAGGGGCCCTCTGCCCTGTGACCTGTGGGTGGGCTTGCTGCCCCCAGGATGTGGGTGTGGAGAGAGCCTGGAAGTCTCCTTGACCCAGGAAGGCTCTCTGAACACTCTCAGCCTTTCAGCCAGCTTGCTCCAAGCCAGAAATTTATGGCAACTTTAAAGAAACAAAGAAGAGACTGGGGCCGGGGGCAGGGAACGCAGGCAGAGAGGGAGCTGGGGAGGGGGAGGATGTTTTATTGACTTCCTCTTAATTGCTGTAATTAAAAACATGTAAAGAATCTTTTTGTAACGACTTTGCCATTATCATTAGTTGTTAGCACAGCTGCCTTATTAATTTCTCGTTAGAACCCAATGCACAGTCCCTCTTTGGGAAGGGGGTGGGAGCCAGAGGTGGGTCCTGCCTGGCCCAGTCCCGGAAGGAGCCTGGGAGGGCAGCATCACCAGGAACAGGCTGCCTGGAGCCCCAGGCCAAAAGCTTCCGCCCCTGGGATGCAGAAACCCACCAGGAGAGACGGAGGGGTCTGGAGAAGCAGCCGCTGCCCACCTATCCTTAGACGGTAGGCATCTGTGTCACTGTGTAAGAGAGACCGGTGGACAGACAGACAGATGCAGGAGGCCTGCAGGGCACAGCCGGGAGAGCCCCTGGACTGGGACTGGGTGAGGATTAAGGAGGCACCACTATTACTGCGAGTGCACGGTGAGTAGCCGAGGGAGAGCGCCTCCTTATCTCACTTGCCTTACCCCAGCCTCAGCTCTGGAGAGCAGACATGTGGCCTGGAGTATGCTGGGAAGGCTGCCAGAGTGAGAAAGCGGAAATGCTTATTCCAGGACACAAAGGGAAGAGGAAGCAAAAGCACAGAGAAGTTAAGTAACTTGCCCAAGGTCACACAGCAAGGGGTGGGGTGGGGACGGTTCACGGCTGGACCCTACAGGGTCCTGACAGCGAGGCAGGAGAAGGTGGAAGGCAGAAATGCTGGCTGTGAGAACCTGGGCTGTCCACTACCTTCCCTGAGCCTCAGTTTCCCCATCTCAAGATGCCTTCCTGTCTCTCAGACTTGTCCCAGGAACCCACGGAGGAAAGACAGGCACACAATTACACTGGCAGAGGGATCCTTCCGGAGGCTCTGCTGTATCTCCTCTGGCATCTCCCGAGGGACATGGGCTTGAATCTGTGTCTGTTCCAAGGGGTCTTGGGGTACGTGCCCCCCTTTCCAGGGGGATGGAGGCCATGCTTCCTCCTTGTCTGTCCCCTCCCGCTGGCTGCACACATACACCAGGGGTCCAGAGTCCTAAGCTACCCAGTGCTGAGGCTGGGGCTGGAAACCACACTTCCTGACCCCTCCCCGCCCCCAAATACATGGCATGACCCTGTTTTAGGCACAGAACCACCCAGGAACTACCTGTAAGCCTTTCCATCTGCTCGCCTCTGCCGAGAGCCAAGAAGAGCGCCTCACCCCCACCCCAGTTTGGTCTCTCTCTTCCTGATCTTAGATGGCAGGGTGGTGAGGGGGTTATTTTGGAATCGGGCAGCTGTGGGTTCAAGTCCTGCTCTGGTACTCCCTCGCCGTGTGACTTAGGCAGTCTCCTCCCCCCAAGCCTTGCGGGGTAAGGTCAGGAGAGAAGGGTGTGCACTGCCCTTCAACAGGTGGGAAAGAGTGATGCTGTGGGTGGGATGGTTTTGAGAGGTCTCCCCGCTCTCCGCCCCCGGGATCCTGGAAAGTGTTTGAGGGGTTGGGGGACAGGTTGGGCAACAGATTCTTCAACTTCCACAACTAGGGAGAGAGAGACCCCCACCCTCCCCCAGATGAGATGAGTGTGTCCAGCAAGGGAAGGGACGGGGAGGTGAGTTTCCCTTCTCTGTCCCACTGTGGCCACCTTGGGTGGAGAGGGGGCGCAGTGGAACCGTCATTAACGTATTAGGGTGAGTGTTTTTTCTCAACTGCCCCCTGGAGTTCCCAGGGCTTCCCCTCACGCCTCTGGCTTTAGGTCCGAAGGGCCACAAGCAGTAGCTTCTTCTTTGCGATGCCACGGAGCAAGGCGGCTCGGTGTCATTTGAAGAGCACTTCTTGGGGCTGGCCCGGGAGCTGCAGCTCGTGGTCAGAAATGGGGTGAACCTGGGTGTCCCCACTGCGTTCGGTCCCTTGGGCCCTTCCAGGTACCTCTCGCTCTCTGCCAGGGACCACCTGCTGCCACACGGGCACAGCTAAGCCGAAGCCCCATAGAGCCCGGGAGCAATGATGGCCATGACCATGTGCAGAGGCTCCCAAAGCCCAGGCTGCCACGTGGCTTTGAGGGGGACAGGGACGCCCCCGTGAGACGCGCCCCCATGAGGGGCAGACGCTGGGCTGGCTTCAAGGCCCAGCTGTGAGTATCAGCCCACTGCTCTGCATTTGGTCAGAAGAGTGTGCGCCAGGAGCCCTTCCGTTCCGTGGCCTGTTTCCTCTTTCTTCGGCACGCTGCTACAGAATATTAATTCCAGCAGTAACGCCTACTGACTGGAGGTGTATTATGGGCAGGCGCGGGCCAGGTGCACTGGGCACAGCAGCTCAAGGAATTCTGTGGATGAGCCTAGACGGTCGGGGAGACTGTGTCCTGGATGGCGTTTCCAACTGCACGCACACGGACTTGAACACATACGGTATCACCAGCACCGAGGTGAGCCAAGAGGCAGACGAACCCCGGTGTGCGCCCTTCCACACAGGTCTGCACACACGTACATGGACACGCCTGCATGTGCACACGTGTTGTCTCCCGCACGCGGGGCATGAAGCAGCAGACTCATGCACACACATATGCGTCTGCACACACGTGCGTGAAGCCACACTCACGCATGCACACTTGCACACAAGCACACGCCTGCACCCGTGGTCCCTCTGGAGGCTGGTCTGCGGCTCTGCCCCTGCCCTGCGGGACCCCGGACACCCGCTAAATGAAGCTCCCTGGGAGCTCTCCAGCCGCTGACAGTGCCCTGATCCATCATTTTAATTCTGGGCTTTTCCACTCCTCTGAGTGAGCTGAGTTGCCTTTAGTGCTGATTTATGGAGACAATCCGTCCTCCACTTTTGATTACGGTTGTTTTCCATAATTATTATCAACACTCCTCGCCTCGCTTGAGATTTCCTTTTAGATTTCTCTCCCCTACTTCTTCTGTTCGAGGAGCAAGCTCTCTCCTGTGCTAATTCAGAGGCGATCCCCTGTAGGCTTTGGATGAGAAGGTGTCCTTTATTTATTTATTTATTTTAATTTCAAGGCTCACTAAGGATTTCCGCGGTCTCATGTCCCACTGTGCCACCTCGGACCTCTGCCCCTGGAAGAGCCCAGAATGAGGCTGATTTCTAGCACACAGCAGCTATTTCCGGAAGGGGGGCAGGACGGGGACGGGGAGGCTGAGTCTCAGGAGGAGGGTGTTGGTTGGTGCTCTGGGTCCCTGAAAGGCACTTGGGATCTTCTGAAGCTGCCTTCCCTTCTTCCGTTTGAGAACGTCCTTCCGGGGACCGGTGCAGGGACTACAGGCATCCCTTTACATCACTATCTGCTCACCTGGCTCCTCCAAACACCTAGACTCGTCCTCCCCGCCCCTCCTCTTAGGGTCATGGTGCCACCATAAGGCATCTCCCAACGACCCCGCGGGCCATGGGACCCGCTTGCCATTATGGCTCCTGGGTGAGCAAGTCGGAGGAGGGAAAGGTTAAGGTCCAGGGGTGGGCACCAGCTAGTCTGCGGAAAGGAGTGTCAGAGATGGAGAGGTTCAGACGGGCCATCGTTAAACCCCCAAGTGTGAGGCACTTTGAGAGAAGCAGCAGCTGGTCCCATGCACAGAGTGCTAAACCCTGAGCCGGCAGATGCGTGTGTCACTTATCAGCGGGGCACCCTTGAGAGCACCCGGCAACCACAAAATGAGGGCACTCCCGTGATAGGCGGGAAGGGCCACCATCAGGGCCCAATGAGCAGGGAAAGCTATGGCCGGGATTTGGCTCTGCCCCGAGCCTGGGGGTGGGCAGGGACCCCGCAGACCGCCTCCTGCTTCACAGCCCTCCCTGCCCCCAAGTCGCCCATTGTACTACTCACAGGCCACCTGGACCTCAGTTTGCCGCTGCAGCAGGGCGCCCATCCGGTTCCGCACGATGCAGCGGTAGGAGCCCGCGTGGGTGCGGTCCAGGCTGGTGATCATGTACCTGGGGGCAGATGAGACAGCCAGTGAGCAAGGCCGGCAGGTGCACGGATGCATGTGTCACATGGGATCAGATGGCGGAGGTCACCCTCTTCTTCAATGGAGAGCACCAGGGAGTTCTGGATTTTCTGGCCACGTCTTGGAGTCACAGAAAGGTCCCTATCCATAGAAACATCCCTCCCAAGGGCAACCAGCCTTTTGCTCCAGTGCCTAGGGAGCAGCCTGCATTTTTTCCCCACAGACGGGAGGTGCTGTGCCTGAGCCCTTGACCCTGGCTGTGACCTGGCCTCCAGGACTGGAGGTCCTCTACGAGTCCTCTGCTGGAGGCTGCTGTCCTTTATTGCCTGTGACTCACAGGACTGGGAAGCGGGGGGGGCTTTCTATTTTGGCCAGTCTCAGGACCGTAGTGTAAATATTAATTGAAATGGATGGGGTCAGCAGAGGCAGGAATATTCACATGTTTCCCCAAATGCTTTGCATCATCTCACCCTTAACGTTCCAGACAGCTCCTAGCAGCTTTGTGGAGGGAAGAGGCAGAGCCTTCTGAGCAGGGCAGGACGGCTTTCTGTACATGTGGGCCCCGAGGCCAGGATGGACCCTTGGGAGGGGAGGGGCCTGAGAAGGACCCTCGGGAGCCTGCTCGGGGAGTATGTGACTGGCCCAAAGGGCAGCAGAGTCTGCTGCTGAGGGAAAGGCAGCCAGAGAGCAGGTGTGTGGTGCACTGACGTGGCTGAGGGGCAGGGAGAAGGCCAGGCCAAGTCGGTGAGAGGGGCTTCTGGCAGGTATGACACGGGCACATGGTGCTCTCTGGTGTGGAGGGGGCTAGTTCCCTTGGGATCGCCTCTGGGATCACCTTTCCTGTCTCTGGCCAGTGGATGGTCCAGTAGGGACCTCAAAGGATTAAGGGGCTTGTGCCTAGGCATCTCCCCCATCCTTGGATGTCCTAGGGTTTGTCCAGGTGACTTGGTGGACAAGCTCACTGCCACCTGTCCCTAGGCTATGGCAACACTGGGACAGAGCAACCTTATTCTCAAGAGTTGCTAAGTTTTCTTTTACAGAAGTTTCAGCAGGGACTCACCACCACCACCAGCATCACCATCTCCACTACTACCATCAGCACCACCATCACCAATACCACCACCATCACCAACACCATCACCACCACCACCACCAATACCAACACCACCATCACCACCAACATCACTACCATCACCCACACAACCATCATCATCACCAACACCACCATCACCACCA